CCTAAAAAAGCAAAATACTTTATTGACCTTAAAAATTAACAATACGTTCACATTTTATCAAAAATCTCGTTCATTAATATCACGATTTTACTTTTTTTGGTAGAAAATTAAAATATAAGATATTCTTTAAAAAATACAACAAACAAATTGCTTTATTTTGCTAAAAATAATTGTTCAGATAAAGTTTTTTCTTAAAATGTATAAAATTTTACATAGGCAAATTACTTAATTGATTCACTGTATAACACAACATTTAAATAACAAATATTTAAAAAATAAACATATATATTATTAAACAAAATAATAGAAACAACATTTAAGAATCATAAATATGGCAACACTAACAAAAAAATGTCGCAAGCCTTTTGAGTCTCCATCTAAACTTTAATTATTTTACGAAGGGCATTTAAAAAAGAATGGAGAAAAAACCCTGCGACATGCTCCCTCAGCTAAAAGTGCTCTTATAACATGACACCAACGTGCGACTCGAGCCATGCGACACACCGGGTAAAGAAGAATGGGAAGTAGCAAAAAACGAACTAATCGTAACAAGGCGAATTCAGATAAGGTGGTGGCAGTTCGGCAACAACAAAATGTTCCATGTAATTTGTTTTTGCATTTGGTGCTCACCAGAGAACGGTTTGAATGCTTATTTTTTCGATTATGAATACAATCGCATAAAACGAGCCTTGAAATAACAATATGCACCAATTTAATATTGCAATGAACGGCACTATTTAAAACAAATGAGTGTAACGAAAAATTATGCTTGCATTGCTTGTCTTCTGCAAATGTCAACGAATACTCTTGAAAGCAACAAATACTAAACGATTGGTATGAGTGGTTTCAGTGCTGATTGAATAAGTTGTAAGAAAGAATTAACTTAACAAATTGTCCGTGTTTTTATTTATGGAATGAAGATTATACTTTATTAAATTTATATAAATTTCGCAAACGTTTGCTGATTGTTTTGCTCATTATAAAAACTTTATTGAGTAAATTTAAAAGAATGTGCTTATAATAAAGTTTAAGTTTTTTTTTCATTCATATGTGGTTAACCGAAAAATCGGTTTTAATACATATGTATATTGGTTTTTCGTGAACCGATATTTTGAAAATATTGATTTTCGGTTATCCTGTTTATCCGTTTTTTTGTGGCTCGGTTAATCGGTTTAAAATATTTGTAATTTTTAGGCCGGGTTTTTCAGATAAAGATAATCTACATTCTTTTGGTTAAACCTAGTTTAATATATGTTTTGTGTTTTTCGGTAAATAGTAACGTTACTTATTATCTTAGTTTAACTGAGTGTTATTGGCCAATTAAACTTAAGTTATAAGTGAGAAGACACAATTAACGAAAACAATAAAACAATGATTTCGGAAGAACAAAAACTTAATATTTTAAGTAAATTGCAATTTTCTGATTTGTTTTGTTTTATTTATTATTGTTTTAAATGTTTATTTAACATTTTTCCAAAATTTTTCATTTTACAAATGTATTATTTGCAAAAAACAGCTGTTCATTGTTTATGTTTTTGAGTGAAAAGTTGGCAATACTAACAAAGTTAACTGAACTTAAATCCATAACTGAAAAACACAATCATCGGTTAAAGTCCGCCTAAATTTGTTCCGAGTTTAATCTAACAGCAAGTTAAGCCTAGTTTAACTGAGTAGTAAGAAACCCGCCCTTAGTATAAAATTGTATTTTTTTTTTTATTTTTTTATTGTGATAAGTATTAGGCTTCATTTAAAGAACATGAACAGAAAACGATTTTTAAAGCATTATGACATTTATATACATAAGAATGTTAATATAATTTTTCTTGTTTATGAATATAATCCTAAACTTTTTGCATAAATGTTAAAAATATTTTATGCGTCTTAAGCGCAGATATAAACTAAAAAATAACAAGAGTGTTATATTCGGCCATGCCGAATCTTCTATACCCACCATCAAATTTTGTGCCGTAAAATTAAAGTAAATTTTGGAAGGTCTTCTCATTTATTTGATATTTACTGAATTTTACTATTCGAAATTAATATAGACATCGGAGTGATTTTCTGAATAGGGCCTTTAGAGATATTTTTGTTGATGTCGAAGGCAAATCTAAATCTGAAATAATTTCCAAAGGACAAAATTTTGTAATTCCAAAAACCACAAGAAGTAGAATTTACTCCATGGAAGTACTGAAAAAGACCTGAAGAAGTGATGATTTTAACACAGGCTTGTCATAGGAGGGATGTCCTTTTTATTTGATTCCAAATTCACTACTTCTGAAGTCATTCTCAAGAAGTAATTTTTAGGCTCTTTTTGGAAGTTTTTGGAAGTTGACTTAAATAATATAATTAATAAGGGTAATAGACACATTTAATACAAAAGACCAAAAATAACATTTATTATCTCATAAAAATGTAAGAACAAAAAATGTATCTATGTGTGTGTGTTCGCGAAACAAAACAAACGAATTTTATCGTTTCCTCGCAATTGAAATATATTTAATTACCTTATTTCGTAGAAATAAATAAATTATAAATAAATCTCCGGTGAACTGTATTAATGGAATGGAGTTGAAGGTGCTAAAAAAGATCCGGTACTGATATCAGGATCCAAAAAATCTGGTTCACTAGGACCAAATGTTTAACTCCAACAAGATTCCCAAGATTTCATATAAAAAAAGTATACCTATTTCAAATTTATTAGAGACGAAGATCTCTTCTTATTTAAACCAAAATATTACCTCGTAGAAATAATTGTTTTTTAAAAGTTATATACACTGAAAATAATCCATGCTTAAAAAATTTTTCGTAAGTGCTTTTTTCGTAATATTTACGAATTATTATAATACGAATTATTATTTAATAAAACCCTTTTCTATTTTTACGAAAGTACGAAAACCTTTCGTAATATTTTTTTGTAAATTTAATCGAAATTAAACATAATGATGTTAATAACAATGTCATTAATTAAAACAACAACATTTGTATAAAATTTAAGAAAAAGTATAGTATAATTCATGAACTATTTTCAAAATAAAACGAAAAATTCGTGTGGATAATATTTTGTTAACTAAAATTAGAATTAATATTTCGTAAATTTTATCATATTTATTCAAAATCTTATTTTGCATTATACTAAAATATTTCGTACAATTTCGTATATATTACGAAAGAATTTCGTGGTGCGAAACAACGAAAGATTCGTACAATGTACGACATTTTTCGTATATATTAGGCATGGATTTTTTTCAGTGTAGTCCTTGTGTCGTAGAAAAATAAAAAGTGATTTATCATGTTAAATGAACAAGCATAAATTTGGTGGCGAACTTTAAAACTTTTTCGCGAAAATTGGAGGAAAAAGCACTTTTAAGTATTTTTTAACACTTAACATAAACAAAAAAATATTTTTTTTATGTTTTTGGACATAAAATTTTTGTTGGTTGAAATTAAAACGGAAAAAATAGTGTAAATTTTCGTACACAAAAAAATAAAAATAATTTATTTATTTTTTCAATATTGCAGATTAAAAGGCAAACAAGGAGTTTGGTACCGATTGACAGTAGACTTAGGTAGTTTTTGATAGCGTTCCATTTTTTAATTATTCTTTGTTGTAAAAGTTGATAAAAATTTATCACAACTTCAAACAGAGTTCTAGCCTTTAATACGGTAAAAAAGAAATTACAAAATGTTATATGTCTGTGAAAAAATATCTTGCAAGTCCTTTTATACTGATATTTTCGCGAAAATGTTTTGAGGTATTGTTAAAGAAGAAAGTTCTCTCATGTGTGTTGATTTTACACAGAACTCGTCTGTGAAAAGAGGGAAATGTTAAAAAATAATAAAATAAGACTATGACATTGTTTTACAACAATAACATATCCCTCTCCTCACATACGAGATCTGTGTGAATTCATCACACTTATTCATAAATATGTATAATTTTTGATACGCAAAAATATATATTTTTTTTTAACTTTTGGTAATTACCTCCTAAAATTGTTCGATGGGTTATTATATTTTTTCATATTTGTAATATAGAAGAAATTCTCTTTTCATTTTTTTCAACTGACAAGCACCAATTTCTTTCTATTTTTTGGAGAAAAATACCAAAAGGAAATTTCAAGAGTTGTCATTTACATAGTAAACAAATTGTGGCCTAGTGTCGTAAAATATAATTGGCGATTTATCAAATAATAATTGAAACATGAGAAATGTATGGAAAAACGAGTCGAATTTGTGTTTTTTGAAAAAAAAAAAAACATGATGCGTTTCAAAAAAAAAAAAAAAAAAAAAAAAAACACAAACGTGTGAACATAGTATTAATTTGCAATAGAATATTCATTCTTTTTAGAAAACATTCTATAAAGAATCAATTATCCTGGGAATTTATTTAATGGTATGTAAAGCCAAGGAATTAAGCTTTAGAAGAAAATTCAGACAATGATTTAATGATAAAGAATGCTACATTTAAATATTATAAGAAAATTTGGAGTCATGAACCTTTAGTTGCAAATGGGCGTTATTCTGAGTCTTTGTCAGTCTATCTGTTCAAATGTTTTAAAGGTGTGAACGTAGTATTAATTTGTAATAGAATATTCATTCTTTTTAGAAATCATATTATTAAGAATTTAATTATCCTGGGAATATATTTAATGGTATGTTAAACCAAGGAACTAAGCTTAAGAAGAAAATTCAGACAATGATTTAATGATAAAGAATGCTACATTCAAATATTTTAAGCCAATTTGGAGTCATGAACCTTTAGTTGTAAATGGGCGATATTCTGAGTCTTTGTCAGTCTATCTGTTCAAATGTTTTAAAGGTCCTATTCGGTACCCATAAACTGATAACAAAATCACTTTTCCGTTCTGTTTTAATTATTTTACGAAAAATCTTAAATTTTGTCGGATTTTTAAAATATATATTCCAATTAGAGCGATTTTAGTAGTGTTTCTTAGTTTAGTACTGTGTCATTTTAAAACTGATATTATAAATATATATAGAACAAAATATACTTGTTGCAGATTTGAAACGTGAAGCTACAATATGTCACATGCTGAAACATCCACACATAGTGGAGCTTTTAGAGACGTACAGTTCCGAAGGCATGCTCTATATGGTATTCGAATTGTAAGTTGTTATTATTATTGTTATTATTTATTTAAATTACAGTCTAAGGTTCTCCGATGGTGTCCACATACATACCATTTGCAAAAAAAATGTAAGTTCCAAAAGTGAGCAAATACCAGTGGATTATTTTGTTGTATTATTTTTTCTTAAAATTTTATATATGTATGTATCTTTAAATTTATTATGGTCTTGTTAAAGTCCAAAAAGTAATTCCAGTATTTTTCTAACATTAATTGTATTATATACCAATAAATTGTATTTTTATAGTGTCGGACAAAACTAAAGAACAAACTTTTAATTGATACAAATAAAACACAGTGAAATAAAAAATGGTTATTACAGCCAAACCCGCTTAGAACGAACTCCGGGGGACCAGTCAAATTTGTTCGAGTTTTTGTAGATCAAAAAAAAAAAAATAATAATAGTAATAATTATATATAATTATAAAGTTAATTTATAATCCTTACAAAAAAACTACCATTAATTTTATTTGTTCATATATTTCTTAACAAATTTAAGTATGAATCAATGAAAAACAAATTAAATTTACATAAGCGTGTCACTGAAAGAATGTGATTTACTTTTGACATCCAAATATCGGATTTTTGCTGCTTTTAAAAAATAAGATTAGGGCTGACTTCCAAAACGTACCAAACATTGCAACGATGCTTTGTTTATTTTCACGTTCTAAAATATAGAAGATGCAAAGTATTGTGTTCAGTAAGTCAGCTGTTTGTGTAGTTTTAGTAAATAATAGGTCTGTTCGCGTACTCGATAATTTGTAGCAATTTGTAACAATTGTTACTAGATTCCGTTTGCGTACTTTTGAAAACTTGCAACGAGAGAGTAAGAGAGCGATAAAAATGACAGTTCGTTGATAGAGAATTTTTTAATTTTACTGGATATTTTTTCCCCAGTAAAAAATATAAAATATATGTTCACAACATATTGTTTATTAATGAATATGTAAACAAACCAAAGAAAATGAAAATTTGGTAAGTTTTACTTTTTTAGAAGGAAATATATAAATTAATAACACACAAATATTAAAAAAATATTTGTAATTAGATTTATTCTAGTTTTATTTATCATAAATTAGTTTTTAAAAGAGTTTGTTTGTTGTGAAAAATCATAATAACTATTGACAATCTAGCGTTTTTAAAACAATATAGAGTGTCTTTCTCTTAGCGATTTTGTGTAAATTTTTATTTTAATAATATGTTTGTAACACAAAGTTATAGGGCAGTGTCACACGTTCAATATATATCGTGATATTTGCTGTATTGTGATATGTATTGAACGTGTAGCATGTAATATTGACGGATCGTGTTCCATATCACAGAAAACCCCAATTTTCTGAAATCCAAAATTTGTATCAATATTTATAATGGATCACGTGATAAATATTGAACGTGTGGCATGTTTTGTGATATCAATCACGATATATTTGTAAAATTCGGAAAAATAAATAAAATAAAAAAAAACTAAGTCAAATATTTTTTTAAATGTTAATAAAAAATATAAAAGATAATAAATTTTTTCTAAATTTGTATGAATTTGGAGTTTTCGCGACATTCTTGTTATCATCGAACGACCCGTGTAGCAGGAAATAATGAAAATACTGACGCGATAAATATTGAACGTGTAGCATGCCGAGGTATTCATCAAACTATTAAAATGGGTCGTGATTCATATTGATCAATATATATTGAACGTGTGCCAGTGCCCTTAAAGCAATTATATATTTTTAATGATACTACGTGTTTTGTTAACTTTAAATATCCTTTTATTTATAAGAAAAATCATATTTTGTTTGTTGTTTGTTTTTGATGTTCGCGTATTTTTTTGGATATTTTTTTGATTGAGAGTAAATTAAAAATTACTCTCTATCATAAAGTGATTGGATATTTTTTTACTGGAAAGTACGCGAACACACCTAATTTCAGCAAACATCAACTTTAAAACTGATTCGGTGATTGTCATTTCGCTGCGTTTCTAATACTTGTCGATGACGTTTTGAAACAGTATGCATTGTCAATGTTTTGTACTGCGGCATTATGAAACACTATTCTTTGTTCGTACACAAAGCAACTGACGTTTTGGAAGTCAGCCTAGTAGATGTAGTTCAAAGTTGTCAAAAATGAGAAACATCCCTCCAATGACACGCTAATGTAAAATTCATAGTATTTTCTCCCGAATTTGAAGCACTTTGGGTTACTAGTTGTGATGAAAATTGTTCCGGTCAATTGGTTCCGGTCATATTAAAGTAAAAACGCCTTTTTTTTGACCAAAATTCAAAATGGCTAGAACTGAGTTGACAGAGGAGTACTTCGACCAAAATTTTATACAATTAACATTTTTCTAATGAATCAAAGTTAAATGATTTTGCTGGCTTAAAGCTAGATTCTAGGCCAGTAAGATCATTAACGGTATACTGTAGTAAAAATAAATCACGGAGGGGGTAATATTGTGGTGTGGGGATGTTTTCCACGCAATGGGATTGGACAATTTTGTAAATATATAATAAATAAAGGATCGTTTTATGTATGAAAATGTCTTGCAAAATGTAGTGATGTACTATGCAGCGGAGATAATGTCACTAAAATGGAGAGATCAACAGGAATATGATTATCAAAGGCTTAAAATTTGCGAAATTATAGATTAACATGATTAACAATAAATTTTCTTTTTAAGAGCCATAAAAGAGCACTGCGAAAGCAAATTATCTAAAATTACTTATAAAATCGTATAAATTTACTTTATTTTACTTTAACTTACATTTTATTTATTTATGATCAATGCAGTACAATTTAATTGTACTATAGTTATTTTATTATATTTTATTTATAATTAAGTTCTTAGCACTTTTTATAATAAGCATATCGTTTTAAATGAATCATTGTTAAGTAGAAATTTCTATTTTATAATTTTCTTGAGATTTTTCCTAACAATTAAAAGTGCTTCAGTTTTGTCCGACACTGTATATGAAAGGATGAAATTTCTTATGGATATTTCTTCCTCTTTCTTTTGATACCCTCCAAGATTTATGAACATTTGAGTTTCTAGCAGTAATTGTAAATATTTTTATTAAAAAAATGTTTTAAATTATAATTGTTTTGTATTTGAAGAGCTTGCTGCAGTAACATCATATGCCACTCGATATCGAAAACTGATTTTATGTACAAATACCACCCACCAAAAAAAGTTAGGAAAAAGTAGTAGAATTTTCACCACAAATAACATGAAGTACTGCTCAAAAATATAGCGCACATTGTGTTAGGTTTTTATTCTTTTTATCTTATTACAATTAATTAAGTTAGAAAAACATGTTTGATGGCAATTTCAAGAACGAAGTCCAGTTTATGTAAAAAGTATCAAAATTCGGTGTAAGACGGCAAAATAACGGTAATAGAGCTTTTTATACAAAACTAACCATAAAAAACTGTTTCAAAATTATAGCGCACTCTTTGAAATAAGTTGAAACAATATTGAAAAATTTTCATTAATTTAAAAAATGCAACTTATTATTATGAAAGGTCAGTTGTCTATGCTTCTAAATCCTATTTAATTTGAAGTGACAAATATTAAGCAGTTGTTTTTGGTTATTTTTGCTGAAATGTGTCTTGTAGTACTAGTAAATTACTTTATGTCAAAATATGCCCCTAATTGGTCAATAGTTCAATTTTTTAATGAGGATTATATCTAGTGACATTGGAGATAACTTTGAAATGATATTTAAAAATTTTTTTTCCCATGTAAACAACAGCCTGACCCTCTAACATGGGTCGCTTTTTGGCAGATTTAAGATTGTGATGATACAAATTGTAATAATTTTATCAAATTTCACCATAAAACCTTAAAAAACTTGCTTCTAATGTTTAATAATTATCTATGGAATAATAACACATCATTACTGTGATCTGAATATGCTTAATTCTACGCAAGCTAAACCTCACATATAATATAAAAAATTTAAGAACTAATCCGTTAATATCTAATATCGTATTACATCGATTTGATAACAAATTTATATACTAATTAAATGAAAATAATAGTTTTCGTTCGAATTGACCTCTATTTTCCATTTTCTGAAAATAAAATTTCCATTTACTGAAATTACAATTACCATTTAAAAGAATTTTAAAAACATTTTTCTTGGTGCTGTTTCAGTTAGCACATGTGCATGTCTTAGCATCCTTTCTCTTGGTCAATTATCTTTTTTTAAGGATATGAAAATACTAGGATCAGTAAATTTTAACCTTTTGTAGAAAATATGTATATAAATGGGTCTTAAAATATAGGGGCAGAAGTATTTTATCATCCCGAGATGCAATATTGATAAACATTTCATATAAGAATATATTATTGCCAATTTAAATTAAAATGCGCTATAATTTTGAATCAATAATTATTTTCTAACGCAGTTATGGTGTAAAACCTTAAAGTAATTTTTCTCTATATTTTAATTTTGTGGCATACCGAGTCAATCAGATGTATGTATGTGTGTATGTATGTATGTATGTATGTATGTATGTATGTATGTATGTATGTATGTATGTATGTATGTATGTATGTATGTATGTATGTATGTATGTATGTATGTATGTATGTATGTATGTATGTATGTATGTATGTATGTATGTATGTATGTATGTATGTATGTATGTATGTATGTATGTATGTATGTATGTATGTATGTATGTATGTATGTATGTATGTATGTATGTATGTATGTATGTATGTATGTATGTATGTATGTATGTATGTATGTATGTATGTATGTATGTATGCATGCATGCATGTATGTATGTACATATGTAGAGAACTATATACGAAATATTGGTAAAAACCCAGAGTTATAACGATCAATGCGCTCACATTTGGAACTATTCTTTTTATAAATGGTATGTACAAATATGAATTGCTCTGTCACTTGTCAAGTGACCCAACGTTGAAAATCGGACATACTGGGTTTTATTCAAATGTGTGTAACTTTTCACCTGTATGTACATATGTAGAGAACGATGTATAACGAATAAAATATTGGTAAAAACCCAGAGTTATAACGATCAATGCGCTCACATTTGGAACTATTCTTTTTATAAATGGTATGTGCAAATATGAATTGCTCTGTCACGTGTCAAGTGACCCAACGTTGAAAATCGGACATACTGGGTTTTATTCAAATGTGTGTAACTTTTCACCTGTTCAGATAGCTATTTTCATTCTTACCAAAAAAAAATTTAAATTTTTTTCAAAATGGACCCTTTTTTTGCTTAAAAGAAAGCTTATACAATTTTCTTAAAGGGCTTTATAGTCCCATAATGGGATGCGAGTGGGATATCTATCAACAAATTATTTTTCAAAATTTGGCACTTAATTTTCCCCTATTTTTTCAAAATGGACGTTTTTGTTGCACTTTTTACTGTCCAGCCCACGAACGGACAATATTAAACCCAAAATATTTTGGTTAACATCATATTACATAACAGAGAATATTTTGAGGGGGGTAACTCAATCACCATTTCTTGTGAGTCGGTCTAATATACAAAAAAAAAGCAAAGTTTTTGCGTTAAAATATTATTTTTTTCACATATGCCCCTTGCATCCCACTAAGTGACCACAAAGTTCTTAAAGGAAATGGACTAAGCTTTATTTTGAGCAAAAAAAAAAAAAAAAAATACAACAAAAACGTCCATTTTGAAAAAATAGGGGAAAATTAAGTGCCAAATATTGAAAAATTCTATTCTTGAGCTAAAAAATATTTTTTGCTAGATATCCCACTCGCATCCCATTATGGGACTATAAAGCCCTTCAAGGAAATTGTATAAGCTTTCTTTTAAGCCAAAAAAAAAAAACCCTGAATGACCAAAATGTCCAACTTTGACCTTCTAAGTCCGGCAGTTTTTAACCAATAGAGTCTGACCTACTATCCAATAGTACTAACCTTAGTGCAAATTTTGTCAAAATCAATTTTTTGAGTTGGGCCACTTGACATGAAATTCCCCATACATATGTATATTGTGGTAAAAAGTAAATTTTCTCAAAAACTGCCAGCTAGAATTTGATGATTAGTATCTAAAATAAAAGGTATTTAACTCTTCTTTCATATGATATACATATTTTATAGATTTTCTACTCCATCGTATTTTATTGGTATTCAAAAAATCTGGCATTGGAAAATATAATAGAAACGATTCATAGTATTGTATAGTGGACATAAGGTAGTTTTTGTGTTTATAAAATTTTAATTATAAATGAATTTCTTCATATAAAAATATATATACCTTTTACTTAATATATAACGGTAATGCACCTATTTCAGGACCAAAATTCCACCAATATTTAATTTTTTTACAATTTAACCCGCTCCAGGAGATTTAAAAGTGACTTATTTATTTTAACCTCCTAGACCGGGTTGAATTGCAAAAAATTTAAATGTTGCTAGAAATTTGGCCGAAAAATCGGTGGATTGCCATTATCTGTAAGTGGATCTAAAACTTTTTCGGCTGAAAGTCTTCTCAAATACTAATTTTATATAAAATTTAACAATGTAAAGCAATATCTTTCACTCTTTGTTCATTTAATTTAAGAAATTTTGAATGTGGGACCCCTGAACCAGCTGACAGGAACCATGTGGTGAATTAAACGGTGAACAAATTATAGTTATAATAAAATAAGTAAAAAGTATATTTTTATATTAAAAACTTCATTTATTATAAAAAAATTTCAACATTAAATACAAAAAAAAAAACGCCTTTTATGATATCTTATCTTATGTCTCCTTTGCAATACTATGAACCGTTTCTATTATTTTTTCAAATGTACTATAGTTCAAACTAAACTTTCTGTGCGAAATTCAAATTTTGGAACAGTGAATATAATTTATTTTTTGATATCATCCTATTACCAATACACCAATATATTCAAATTCGCAATAAATTTTTCCGAAATGATCAACACTGTTCTACTGCATGCAGTCAAAGTCATCATTTCAAAATATTTAAAAAATTTCTTTTGTAGACTCCAGGATGCACTAAGTAAGGTGAAATCGTCAAGGCAGCTGATTTTTATTTGTTTATCTAAAAAGTGCTTGGGTTATGTCAAAAATAATTTATTTATTTTTATTCTAATATAAAAATTAAATTTGTGTTTTCAAACGAAAAAATTTCAAACCAAAAATTATGAATGAAAAAATAACAGATTCAAATAAAGAAATTCAGATAAAGCAGCAATAAGACGTTGTCCTGCTACGAATACAATTTAAATGTAACGACGGTGTTGTAGGTAATATTGTGAAATACGCAAAAAATTTTCTTTCCAATATTTATTATTTTTTAATTTTAGAAATTTCATTTTGACAAAACCACTACTCTAAACAACAAAAAAAAAAAAAAAATATTGTGTTTGTTGGGGTTGTTGCCCAAACTCTCTCACCTTACTTATTACATCATGGTATTACATCATGTCAAAAGAATAGCACTTAGAGGTGTCAATAGTTTAAATACATATATATATTCTTGTAAATGATTGGAAATAATATTCCTTCACTTCGAAAAATACAATATTTAAAATAGCCTTGAAAAAGTTGAATTTGATTTTAAAATTTTGAACTATAGTACATTTGAAAGCTTTCATGAAGCTTTTAAGTAAACGTTAACGTTTGTTAAACCTAAATTAAGAAGAAATGAATAACCTGAAATGTTGGGAATTAGTTTCACTTTACCCGAAATTGCGCATTTCTGCGCGTTTTGAGTAATTTAATATTTTCTAGCGTGCTACCTTATAAGCATTTTAAAATTTGATTAAAGAACTACGCAAAGGATGATGTCCTTATCAGACATGTGTTTTTGTCATCCTGTTATCCATAGTGTTTGCAAGGAATTACTGTATTCATAGGTCCGAATTTTCGTAATTTCTTAGCAACAAAATGGAAAATTGCAGTAGGAAGAAGGAAAAAAATGTGTATAAAAACTTATTTATTATTTCAGGCAGTAGCAAACGCTTCTTGAAAGCAAAGACCCACACGATGGAAATTAGTTCGTAAAAAACTTTCGCGAGTTCGACAAGTCCTTCCAAAATGAAAAATGTTGTGTTATGTAAGTCATCTTAATTATAGACAGAGGTAATTAACCCTTTGGTTGTTATCGCTTAAATTTGTTAATATATATACATAGCTATTTATGCCTATGCTCCATCTTAGACTTTAAAGAGTTTCATTATTTTGTCGATCTTAATTTCGCACTGAAAAAGTGATGATTTGAACCAATGGCATTGCGCAAATTTTTTGAATACCAATAAAATACGATGGAGCAAAACAATCTATAAAAAATATATATCATATAAACGAAGCGTTAAATACCTTTTATTTGAGATACTAATCATCAAATTCTAAAGGATAGTTTTTGATAAAATTTTGTTTTCACCACAAAATAAAGTCATTTCTATTATTTTTTCCACCACTGTATATATATACATACATGTAGAAAAATATATAAAAACAGTCTTAATTTTTTTCTTTTAAAGCATGGAAGGTTCAGATTTATGCTTCGAAGTAGTGCGAAGGGCAGTGGCGGGATTTGTTTATAGTGAAGCTGTTGCCTGGTAAGTTGTAAAAATACATTATATGTACATCGACGCATACAAACTAAATATATATAGGAGTATTTAAATTGTTTTTTAAATTTTAAAATTTTTAAATTCTACGTTATATAAATTAAATACATACTGCAAACATTTTGTCCAGATAACCCAATCCGTTCAGAAGTTATAAGAAAAAATTTACTTTTTTGGCTATTTTCTCTTTAAGATAGTGTAAAAAAATGCAAAAGTGTTGCAAATTATTTATTTTTCTTGTTTAGAAAAAGTAATATTTATATAAAACATATAATAAAGCCCCCTTCACACAAACACATTTTACATATAATGAAAAAGTAAAATGAAATGATTTACATTTACAAAAACAAAGCATGATGAAAACAGTTGTTTTCCTTTCCTATGGTTTACTGTCCCTGGTCACTGTTACTGGTCCCTGATCTAATGCGACTTGCTTGTTTTTTAATCATATCAAAAAATGAAGAGAGATGTAAAACTTTTCTCTCAATGTGAGATGGTTTGATTACATTTAGACGATTCCATCCGTACTCTTCTACATAAAATTGTGACAGATCATATTACTTGTGTACTCGCGTAAAGCTAGTATAACTTGCTTTTAGGTTTTTAATTTCGATTTAATTATACAATGTGAAAATATGGCTTAATTCAATCGCGTTTTTTCAAAACTTACAAAGAAAAATATGTACATTAGAGTCTCCCGAGGAACATGGTTTTTATAAATCTCATGTAGGAGTAACTCGCAATCGATGCGTATTATTGTATTGAAAAAAATACTTTTTATTTTTTTTTTGGAACGGTCCTCAGTTCAACTATATCTCCAATATACACGGGAAACCCTAATGTACATTAGAGTGTCCCTAACATCCTTTTGAAGATGCGTGTTAATGGACCTACCACGAAAAAAATAAAAAAATATATTTTAGGTTTTGGTTTAGGCTTTTAAGGATTATGCACCATAAAAAGATGCACATCTACTCGGATACCATAAGGTCCATGATGGTTCCCTTCAAAGAGTGAAGATTCAAAAACAGAGAAATAAAATTTTGTCCAGATAACCCAATCCGTTCAGAAGTTATAAGAAAAAATTTACTTTTTTGGCTATTTTCTCTTTAAGATAGTGTAAAAAAATGCAAAAGTGTTGCAAATTATTTATTTTTCTTGTTTAGAAAAAGTAATATTTATATAAAACATATAATAAAGCCCCCTTCACACAAACACATTTTACATATAATGAAAAAGTAAAATGAAATGATTTACATTTACAAAAACAAAGCATGATGAAAACAGTTGTTTTCCTTTCCTATGGTTTACTGTCCCTGGTCACTGTTACTGGTCCCTGATCTAATGCGACTTGCTTGTTTTTTAATCATATCAAAAAATGAAGAGAGATGTAAAACTTTTCTCTCAATGTGAGATGGTTTGATTACATTTAGACGATTCCATCCGTACTCTTCTACATAAAATTGTGACAGATCATATTACTTGTGTACTCGCGTAAAGCTAGTATAACTTGCTTTTAGGTTTTTAATTTCGATTTAATTATACAATGTGAAAATATGGCTTAATTCAATCGCGTTTTTTCAAAACTTACAAAGAAAAATATGTACATTAGAGTCTCCCGAGGAACATGGTTTTTATAAATCTCATGTAGGAGTAACTCACAATCGATGCGTATTATTGTATTGAAAAAAATACTTTTTATTTTTTTTTTTGGAACGGTCCTCAGTTCAACTATATCTCCAATATACACGGGAAACCCTAATGTACATTAGAATGTCCCTAACATCCTTTTGAAGATGCGTGTTAATGGACCTACCACGAAAAAAATAAAAAAATATATTTTAGGTTTTGGTTTAGGCTTTTAAGGATTATGCACCATAAAAAGATGCACATCTACTCGGATACCATAAGGTCCATGATGGTTCCCTTCAAAGAGTGAAGATTCAAAAACAGAGAAATAAAAACACTACACACACGTTAGCATCCCTATCAGAATCCTTAGACTGCGTTTTTTATCGGATACAAGACAATCATCCCTGATTGGAAATTCTATCAGAGTTGTTTCCCCGAAGTCTAGAGTAGATAAACTTAATACGAAGCCATAACTTTGGCAGCCTGAAGTTGTCTAACTTGTACCTTCTGGTAAATAGTACCAGCTCCGTTTTCCCAGGATTTACGCTCTTATCTTTCGCCCATGATAGAAATTTTTTATTGACCAGTAGCACCACGTTATCCGCATAGGCAACGATCATCCTACCTTTAGATTTAAATAGCCTTAGAATACCGTTAACCGCTAGTATCCATAGAAAAGGAGATAAGACTCCCTGGTAACCTTCTCCTAACCCCCTGTCTATATTAGACAAATATTTATCACGGCACTTGACAAAACGTCGGCAGAAAAATTTTCAGTTTTTTGTTTATGTTAATACATAGGGATAACAAAATGCTGATTTTATCACGACAACTAACAGATAATTTTATTGAAATAATGCTATATTTTATAAAAACAATTAAAATTAAATGCAAATTTTGTAAATAAACACTAATTTCACTAAAACGTATGTTAAAAAGCAATTTTAATTGCACAAAAAAACAAAATTCTAAACAAATTTTACAATAAAATGACGTTTATTATCAAAACAACGTTGTCTAAACAATTGTTTAGACAACACTGTCATAACGACGTTATAACGCTAATAAATGCAGTCTGTACCTGCTAATTTTTTATCATGATAACAATTTGACGTTTAGCATAATAAATATTTGTCTAATATAGACACGGGGTTATGCAATGATCCACTACGTTCGAGTTAATAATTGTATAAAGCCTTTTGTGCCAACCCAGACTTGACCCTATAATAAAATGCTCCCCAATTTGTTTTCCGAATCAGTTAATTAAAGTTAAATCTATGTATATCTGCTTTCCTATCTTTATTCCTTTATTACATTAATTCGCATCGCCTGAGAGGTATTTTTACAAAAAACTTAATATTGACTTAAGGAGGCAGAAATTGACAACTCTTCCTACTGTTTCTACCTGATGATGGTTGTATCAAGATATAAACCAATTTTTAATTTTGCGAGTTGAAAACCGACTCAGAATTTTTAGTTTGGAGGCGTCGATGTGTACGTGCAAGATTATTAAAGCTATTGTCTACTACTTCAGCCATTACATGCGTCAGATTCTAGAGGCTTTGCGCTACTGTCATGAAAATGATATTTTACATCGAGATGTTAGACCAGCATGTGCACTTTTAGCAACAGTCGATAACTCTGCACCTGTAAAATTGGGAGGATTCGGTTCGGCCATTCAACTGCCAGGAGGTAGAGAAGCTTTAGAAACTCATGGTCGAGTAGGATGCCCGCATTACATGGCTCCAGAAGTTGTAACAAGACGTCTCTATGGGAAAGGATGTGATGTTTGGGGTGCTGGAGTAATGTTACATGTTTTGCTCTCAGGGCGACTACCTTTCCTGGGATCGGGTGTACGGTTACAAAATTCAATAGCAAGAAGCAGACTAACAGTACGTGTTTATAATTTAAATATTCTTATTTTAATTTTTACTTTACGAATTTTTATTTACACATATTTATTTAATTTTTAGTTTGAAGCGCCAGAATGGAAATCAATATCTGCATCAGCAAAAGATTTAGTGTCTAAAATGTTGGCTGCTAATCCTCATCACAGACTGTCTATTGCGCAAGTTCTGGAACATCCATGGATAAGAGTAATCAATATTAAAAGCTAGCTTTTTATTAAAATAAATAAATATACATATATATTTAGGATCGAGATAAACTTCAACGTCAGCACTTGGCTGATACGGTGGAGGAATTAAAACGTTACAATGCACGACGTAAATTAAAAGGAGCTGTGCAGGCCATTGCCGGTGGCACAACTTTAGATCCTATTTTTGGAACCGATACAGATTCTAGTAAGTTTGGAATGTTAGTTTGCGATTTAAATATAAAAAATAAAATTTCAGTGCCGGTTGCATCTGATATTTTAAATGAGTGGGCTGATGAAGAGGCTGGTATAGAAGCTGTACAACGAATTTTGGATTGTCTAGATGATATTTACGCCCTACAAGATGCGCATGTGGATTCAGACGTATTGCGTGATATGTTAAGGGATAACCGTTTGCACCAACTGTTGCACGTAAGTCTTGAAAATTGATGAATTAGAATTTATTTAATCTCGAATTTTATAATGTAATTTAGTTGTTTGATCGCATAAGTTCCACAGTAGTTTCTCCCAACCGTGCTCCAACTGCAGATGCTGTAGCGAGAAGTCGTGATGTAATAGAGATGTTATCTTCCATAGGCGGCAATAAATACTTAAAGGACGAATTAATGCTACTTTTGGTTTCACCTCATTTACAGGTATGTAACAGAATAAAACTTTTTTGCGGCAAGATTCTTTAGATTCAAAAGTTTAATGTATTTAAGCACCACAATAAAATTAGTCAGTGATATGATTATTAACCAAAAATAATTTATAAAACACTAGCCATAATGGCCATTAACTCTTTGCGCTACAAAAAGAAACGGTAATAGGCAAAAAAGCAATTACACTGGTATGCGCTTATTTATATCATAATGACTGATTGCAGTAGATTTAGTGGTTCCGAATCCAGGTGTGGTAACAAATATTATTTCTTCGGTTCCCATTATATCTATTGAACGTTTTCGTGGTAGGGATCCCTCTGGAGGTGGATCTGGTTTGCCGATGTTCTCGGTGAATTTCCGACTAGTGTCATTTGGGATCATTCTTTTGTTGAGGTTTCTGTATATAAACCACCGCTGTCAATGCAGAAAATAAGGTAGACTTGGGTTGTCATACCAGCTCCTCGGGAAAACTTTTGAATTTTGATACATTTTCTAAACTCAGGGATGATGGCTATGGTGGATGTGCTATAGCTGTCAGGAAAGGTATACGTGTCTCTAGGGTATCCTTTAGGACTAACCTAGATATCTTAATACTGAAAGCCCTGAACCTTAAGACCACTCTTGTATTAGTATACCTCTATCTCCCCCTAAATAGTTCCAACAGTATTCATTTGATTGTCTGCTTTACAGAATTTCAAAGACTACTTGTTTTTGTTGGTAAATTTTCTAATGTCATTATTTCTGGTGACTTCAATGCCCGCTCCACTCATAGGGGAGACTATTCCGACTCCCCTCGGGGTAACCTAGTTCATCGCTTGATTTCTGACTGCTTTCACGTATCTGAATGATGGATCATCCACATTTCTTCGTCAGCTTGATGATACCAAAGACACGGTTCTAGATTTGAGCTTCTCAAATTGTGAATTTGCTATTTCTTGTAGTCATCATTTTCAATTATAATAGAATTTGATGTGTCGAGCCCTAACTCTACTTCGTTTCTATCCAAGCGCAAATTATTCTCGGACGTATCTAAGAGTAATCTTTCTTTTGATTTTGGTGTGATTGAGGAGGCATTTTCGACTAGTATTTCTTCCGCTCCTCACAAGGTTTCCATGTCATCATAATCCTATGTACTGGTGGAATGAGGAATTATCTACTTTGTTTCGGTTAAAAGTACCTGCAAGGAAGAAGGCATCAAAATACCCCTTTCCGAAGAATCTGGATATAGACTCCTTTCATCATAGGTTGGATGAGCTCAGCCAAATACTTGTAAATAGTGTCAATAATGCAACAAATTCTCGACAGTGTTTATGGGATGAAGGTAATAATTTACCATATCTTCAACATCTGAGGGCACAGGTTCCGGATAACACACTGGTTGAGTTTTCTAGGATGCAGATTTTCCCCTCTTCTCTTCTAACTAGATTTGAACTGGATAACGTTTTAGACAGCAGGAAGTCAATATCGGTTGGTGGATGTGATCGTGTAACCTATGACATGTTGAAATTCCAAATGACATAATCCAGAGATTCCCTATTACATGCTTTCAATGTCTACTTTTGTAATTGTTAAATTTAAGTACGCTTAAATTAAATTACACTATGCGACAAAAATAAATACCTGGGAGTAGAACAAGAAACAAAGTTGCGTTTTTCTCATGTCATGACATGGCTTTCTAATCAATTAATAAATAGTACGGTTCCTATATAAAATAATTTCAAAAAACATCTCCAAACTTGGTCAACGGTGCAAAACTAAAATAAAAATATGTTTGCTGATGAAATTCACACATATCTCTCCAGGTTACTTAAACGTTAAATATGTATGTCATTATAAAGGCCTCAGCTTCTGCTTTCTAAATCCACACATAATTAAAAATCGGTCCAGATTCAACCCGGTTTTTTACCCGTAACTCAAGATTTTGGAGGAGGCAAATTTCAAAAATATATTCTTGTTCTACTCGGATCCACCTTTCAGAAAAATAGTATCACTTCTCAGGTATTTCAATTTTCGTTTATTTTGTCTCACTGTGTTATGTATATGAATGAAATTATCATAATTTTTTCAAAATTATTTAGAAATCAACCCTCCATTTTTGCAGAAATAGTCCGAAAGCATTCCTTCTGACCATTTTCCGTTGTACCTTCTTCCTATTTGTAAAGTGTCTTGTTGAAACCTTTCGTATGTTCATCTGATACTGCTCCAAGACATTCAGGAAAAAGTGCTAGCCCAAAAAAAAAAAAAAAAAAAAATAATTTTTAGTGACATATTGCAATTAAAATATTTGTCTATACAGTTTTTAGCTTTTTGTTGCCCAAAAAAAATAACAACAAAGGTCTACAAATGCGACCCACTTCATTGCGTTTTATTTTAGATATTTCATCTTTCATTATACCCTACACCACTTTAGAGGGAAGGGTATATTGGATTTGTGCTGATGTTTGTTACGCATAGAATTAATGGTCCTATACCTACTTTCCAGTATATCAATCGGTTCAGAATCAATTTCTGAGTCGATTAAGGCCCTTATTTAACCCTAGCTCACTTGTAAAGTCCCCTCTGAAATTGCTTGAACGTCGTTAATTCGTATATAAACACGTGTATTTTAATGAAAATCGTCATAATTAACTTTAATGTCAACAAAAATTCTTCCACCAAATTTTGTTAGCATCGGTTCATATTTGAACCTAGCCCCCATATATAGCCTCCACCCATTTTTTTTATCATAAATATGTATATCGAAATTAAGGAAAAATTTAACATAAATGCTTTACTCTGCTTTTAAAATTAATACACATTTAGATATACAAATAACTGGTGTAATCAGTCACGCCCGACTATAGTTTTTACTTGTTATACCCTTCACCTTCGTGAGAAGGGTATATATAAGTTTGTCACTCCTTTTGTAATTTCTATAATATAATTTTCCGACCACATAAAGTATACATATATATTCTGGATCCTTATAGGTAGCGGAGTTGATTAAGCTATGTCCGTCTGTCCGTCTGTGTGTTTGTTGAAATCAGTTTTTGGAGGACCCCAGATATCGGCGAGATCCGAATTTTCAATAATTCTGTTAGACATGCTTTCGAGAAGATCGCTATTTAAAATCAGCAAAATCGGTCCATAAATACCGGAGATATGAACAAAAATCCGAGACAACCTCTGAAAATTTCATAAAAAAGACAATTTTTTCATGCTTTGATGTAAGCAACAACAACACTGCTTATTCATTGAGTATTTCGTTTCATATGTTTGGATGGCTGTGTGTTTCATTGCCTTGTGTATATTGTTTTTGTTTCTTGGTGCATTCAGTTTCGTAGGTTTGGATATCTCTTGGTTTCATTGCGTTGTGTATTTTGTTTTTTTTATACCCTTCACCTTCGTGAGAAGGGTATATATAAGTTTGTCATTCCGTTTGTAATTTCTATAATATAATTTTCCGACCCTATAAAGTATATATATTCTGGATCCTTATAGATAGCGGAGTCGATTAAGCCATGTCCGTCTGTCTGTCTGTTGAAATCAGTTTTTAGAGGACCCCAGATATCGGCGAGATCCGAATCTTCAATAATTCTGTTAGACATGCTTTCGAGAAGATCGCTATTTAAAATCAGCAAAATCGGTCCATAAATGACGGAGATATAAGCAAAAATCCGAGACAACCTCTGAAAATTTCATAAAAATAGACAATTTTTTTTCATGTTTTGATTAATAAGCAACAACAACAACACTGCTTATTCATTGAGTATTTCGTTTCACATGTTTGGATGGTTGTGTGTTTCATTGCCTTGCGTATATTGTTTTTGTTTCTTGGTGTATTCAGTTTTGTATGTTTGGATGGCGGTGTGTTTCATTGCCTTGTGTATATTGTTTTTGTTTGTTGGTGTACAGTTTCGTATGTTTGATGTCTGTTGGTTTCATTGCGTTGTGTATTTTGTTTTTTTGTGTATTTCGTTTCGAATGTTTGGATGTCTGTTGGTTTTACTGCCTTGTGTATTTTGTTTTTTGAGTGTTTATTTCGTTTAGCGTTGTTGTTGTTCATTTTGTTTTGCTATTGCTATAATAATGATATAATCGGGAAAATTAAATATGTACATAGGTACATAAATTTAAATTTTATAAAATTTATATTTTTTAAATACACAATGGTGAAGGGTATATAAGATTCGGCACAGCCGAATATAGCACTCTTACTTGTTTTTTTTTGAGTATGTCGTTTCGTATGTTTGGATGGCTGTGTGTTTCATTGCCTTCTGTATATTGTTTTTGTTTCTTGGTGCATTCAGTTTCGTATGTTTGGATGCTGTTGGTTTCATTGCGTTGTGTATTTTGTTTTTACTTTTTTTTTTTTTTTTTAATATTTCGTTTCGTATGTTTCATTGCCTTGTGTGTATTGTTTTTGTTTCTTGGTGTATTCAGTTTCGTATGTTTGGATGTCTGTTGGTTTCATTGCAATGTGTATTTTGTTTTTGTGTATTTCGTTTCGTATGTTTGGATGCTGTTGGTTTTACTGCATTGTGTATTTTGTTTTGTGTGGTTATTTCGTTTAGCGTTGTTGTTGTTTCTTTTTGTTTTGCTATTGCTATAATAATGATATAGTCACTATGGTGAAGGGTATATAAGATTCAGCACAGCCGAATATAGCACATTTACTTGTTTTTTAACGCTTATAGCTAACAGATGCTGCTACCTATGGTCTTTAAAGTTTATAGATTCCCTAAAGGGTTTCAATTAATAAACAAGTTTCAATTAATTCTTAAACAAGTTTTTAAGAATTACGAAACATTAATAACATATTTACATTAACGAGCACTAAAGGGTTATTCCACAGAGAGTTCGACCAACTTGAATTTTTAACTTCTTCGATTTAGTTACAACTTGGAGTATTAAATTGATTGGTCCTTGATAATTTTACTTTAATCCACGTTAAAAAATTTATTTGACTAGACTATAAATGTATTTCTGTTGAAATACATTCATATGTAGTCTAG